GTGTGTGTGTGTGTGTGTGTGTGTGTGTGTGTGTGTGTGTGTGTGTGTGTGTGTGTGTGTGTGTGTGTGTGTGTGTGTGTAATACTGTGTTTTATTTACACGCATGTCGATTAATTTTTAAGACGTGGTGTATCTTTTCGATGTTATGCAAATTGAGCATTTTTTTAGAAAATCGAAATGCTATTTATTATTATTATTATTATTATTATTATTATTTTTATTTTTATTCTATGTTGCTGCTTGGAATGTATATCCTTTTCAGCCTGGGTCGGCCCTAACAGTCAGGATCGAAAGCCCGCCTCCCTAATAAATAATCTAATTTGTGTCGATTGGGACGTAAACTACTACCGCATAAAAAATAGTACTGTATATGGGAGGAGCATGCATCTCTTCTTGAACGCAAATTCCATTTGCTCCTGGTCGGAGTTTCCTGCGTGGCTGATAGGAGTGCCATTCGGCTACATACCCCCTCACTTATCCGTACTAACCCCCCGTTATCAGTGTCTGCTATTTTCTTCCCTGTCACATAAGGACCACCCTGTCTACCGTATGCTCCTCTTTAAAAGTCCAACCGTTTCTTAGAAACACTGGCTAGTGTCAGATACGGTAAAAAAGCTGTTATTATAAAATGGACGTATAGTAATTTGGGACAGCCCTCTCGAATTAGTTTTGACAAAGACGTGATATTATATCTATGTTATCATCTTATGTGGAGACACGGAACAATTGCAGACCGCCTCTCGAGTTCGTGAATGTCATTTTCTATCTGAGATTTATAGTAGGAGAACGAACAGATGATAAGTGAGGCAGCGTGGTGGAATCAGGCTCTCGTCAAAATAATCAAAGTGAAGAAACTTGCATTTTTCCGCAGGTTTGTGAATTTTTATGTGGTTTTTGTTTTTTGGCCCAACACCTTTCATGCCCATTAAAGAACTTATTTCTGTGTGGATTTTTCTAAAAAAACGTTGATTAAAGGCACACAAAATGGAAATTTTCAGTTGCCAAGGACTCTTAAGCTAAGAAAATAGCCAATCTTTGGCGACCATTTTCTCACTAATTTTTCCCCTGAAAACAGGTGACCCCCACCTCCTTCATTCGCAAATATCTCCACTTGTATTCAAGGTAAATGGACATTTTGTTCATCCAAATAAAGACAAGTGAACAAGCTTTAAGATGATACCAATAACTCTACATGCCCAAAAATTGACGAGAGCCTGATTCCACCACGCTGCCTCACATAAAGAACAAGCAGTGAGACACGGTTTTTCTTTCGATCTACTCTTGATGTGAGATAAGTTGGCTTTGTTTTTGAAGGCAGAATATTTTGGGACTTCAATAAATTTATGAAAAAGAAATTGACAAAACGAAATTAGACAGATGAACTACATTACTCCTCAATCCTTTCTTAATTAATATGACGCGCATCCCGAGGGCCACCAAGTAAACTTTGATAATATAGTGTAACTAGCTGGGGCCCCTTTCGATGAAAGGAATGATCGGTGCTTTAATATCAACTAAAAGTCATTGGCCTACTATATTTACACTCTACTGGAATGGGGCAATAAATCTTGAGAGATGCAAAAAATTCGAAGGTCTAGATCTATACTCTCAAAACAAAATGCGCCTCGCGAAATATCACTTTCAGATTTTCTAAAATTACAGAGACAGAAGCGTCGGCCTACAAAAGCGATCGGCGAAATAAAGAAATTTAGCTTATTGAAGCAAAACTGTCTCAAAACTGAAAAAACCAAGAGCGTCATGATCTGGAGAGTATTTCAAAGAATCTTTTGGCGAAAACCACATGTCGATCGATGCAGCCATTAAACAGCCTTTTGAATAGCAAAATTCGGTCACCACAAACAGATAAAAGAAGCGCATAGAGCTTGCTTTCAAGTGGGGATATGCGCTATACAAATGCTTTTTATCATTATTATTTTTAAGTCATGTTTTTCAAATGTTACAGGAAAAAAAGGGGGATTTTCTTGAAGCGGTTTGGGTGGATAAACTTCATTTTCTTAAGGGAGCCTTCAAATGCCATGACATACTTAAGATTCTATTCTATTCTATTATTCGGTGATTGTTGCGTGCTCTGGTGTGGTTTGCTACTTGGTTCTTGTCAAACATGGGTCGTACGTATCTCACCTACACACACAAAAACACACACGCGAGCTGACTCACAAACACACACACATACACACATACACACATTCCCACACATACACACACAGACATAGAAACACACACACACACACACACACACACA